GCAAACTATGCTGGAGGACCCTTTCACTCTAGCACAACGATAAATGATGAAGATGAAGATTGGGTTTACTACAGCAATCGCAAGTCAGATGTGGGTTGCTCACACAGTGATGATTATACACCATCAGTGTCTGCACCATCTCTCGTGCAAAGTTCTAAGCGCAGCATATTACCTTGGAGGAAGAGGAAGTTGAGCTTTAGGTCTCCTAAAGCTAAAGGAGAGCCATTGTTGAAGAAGGCATATGGAGAAGAAGGGGGGGATGATATTGATTTTGATCGCCGGCAGCTTAGCTCTGATGAATCTCTTGCTCTTGGGGTAAGCCATCTGTTGATTTCTCTTACTTTCATGCTTTTATAAAGCTTTTTATTTCCAATTTAGCAGTATTAAAAGTACAAAAATGAAAATACTGATGATCATCTTGAAGGATGGTAAAGGTGGTTTTGTGATGACTATTCATTTCATAAATTAGACATGGGTAATTGAAATAATGTTAGCTGTTTTACAGTGGCATAAGGCAGACGAGGATACATCTGCAAATCGATCATCAGTTTCTGAATTTGGTGATGACAATTTTGCCATAGGCAGTTGGGAGAAAAAAGAAGTGATAAGCCGTGATGGGCAGATGAAGCTTCAAACTAAGGTTTTCTTTGCTTCCATTGATCAGCGAAGTGAGCGGGCTGCAGGTGAAAGTGCATGTACAGCCCTTGTTGCTGTTATTGCTGATTGGTTTCAAAATAACCGTGGTCTGATGCCCATTAAGTCCCAATTTGATAGTCTCATCAGAGAAGGGTCCTTGGAATGGAGAAACCTCTGTGAGAATGAAACCTACAGGGAGCGGTTCCCTGACAAACACTTTGACCTTGAAACAGTTCTCCAAGCCAAGATACGTTTTCTCTCTGTACTCCCTGGCAAGTCCTTTATTGGGTTTTTCCATCCAGAAGGGATGGATGAGGGAAGATTTGACTTTTTGCAAGGCGCCATGTCCTTCGATAACATTTGGGATGAGATAAGCCGCACTGGATTGGAATGTCCAAGCGATGATGAACCTCAGGTGTATGTTGTAAGTTGGAACGACCATTTTTTCATTCTAAAGGTTGAACCAAAAGCTTACTACATTATCGACACATTAGGAGAGAGGCTCTATGAGGGATGCAATCAGGCCTACATTTTGAAATTTGACTGCAACACGATTATTCACAAGTTGCAAAATGCTGCAGAAGCATCCGATGAGAAAACAATGGGTGATCAGCAGAATGTGCCAGCCACAGTGGAACCTAAGGATCAGCAGCAGGTGAACCTGAAGGAGGAGGAAGCTTCTATTTTAGGGGCAATAATAACCAATCCTGAAGAACCATCTAAAAGCGAGGAACCATTAAAGAGTGAGGAAGAAGGGGAGGTTGTGTGCCAAGGAAAAGATTCTTGCAAGGAGTACATAAAGAGCTTCTTGGCAGCAATTCCAATCAGGGAATTACAGGCGGACATCAAGAAAGGTTTGATGGCATCAAAACCTCTTCATCATCGGTTGCAGATTGAGTTCCACTACACCCAGCACTTGCAACCATTAACTGAAACTCATGCGACAGAAATGTTGACAGCACCGCCAGAGTCAGTAAATGGCTCCATGTGAGAGGCTACTGTTTAGAGACTTGCTGTAAATCTTAGGAAGTGTGATTAGTCTAACTAAAGTTTCATTTTACAAACGGTATCTTGTGATGTGAATGGCATTAACAAAGAGGGACCTTTTTCAACTTTTTGAGGAGTTTGAAGAGAAAAGGGTCGTGTTGTTTTTCTTCTAATCTGGTCTTCAAACGGAGCTGTCCTAACTTTTTCTCTTGTATGCACTTTGTTGTTGGAATTTAGCATGATCTACCGTTTATTCTTTGGCCAGCCTTTCATGGGAATGGCTGCTTCCGTGCATTGCTGTAAAATCTCTCTCAATTGAATGAGCTCCAGCTCACTTTTAAAACTCTTTGGCGATTCTCAAAAAATTCTCCTTCCAAGAGAACACGTAACTTTTGTAGACTGGCATAGAAATATTCTTCAACTGTTCTGTACCCCCTTTCTGACATCAAGTTCCCATACGATCCACTGATGGCAATAATCTGACCCCTGAGATTTTTCTTTCAGAAAATTGATGCTTTAAACATTTTAGGACTCTGGTTCTTTTACAACTTATTTGATTGGAACCAAATATTTCCTTTCCCTGTGCCGTGTAAAGCTGTAAAGAGGAACTTTGCAGGATTGATATTCAAGGACATGAGAAGATTCTTTGAAATGCATGTTTCTTTTCTAGATAACCATCCAGCCTAAAGTTGCTTCCTTTAGCTGCCACAACAAACATTTGTAACGTAAGTGATGTCATGCTGTGTGGAGGGGAAATGGTTTTCTATAGAATTCCTACCCCAGCAGTGCACGTTCAGAATATACCCTTCCAATAAGCATCGTTGGAATTATTCCTTTTAGCAAGGCATGAAAATGTCACTTTCATGGAGAACGTTTGAAGTACTGTATGTATTTGAATGATCTTACCAAGGTTCCTGATCAAGAATTTTAACTAGATTAATGGAAAAATGATAACGATAGCTGCATCATTTAATGTTGATTAGAAGCTCCTTGCCTGCTTGTCAAGTTAAAGAATGAAATTCTCCTTTCACTTGTTGCGGTTTGCGCATGCATCACGCTGTTCTTTGGACTCAAAAACTTTGTCAATTTCTCTCGCTGTTAGTAGTACTTAATGATGGTGATTATGGCGGGGATAGGTGAAGATGAGGATGTTGATCACAACGAATACTCATGGCTTGTTCCAGCATGGAAAAAATAAACCAGAAATTCATTGAGCTAGCATTTTTTATCGAGTTGAGAACTATATAAATTGGTTTTATAAGAGGGGAAAATCACTGGCGTCAGAAGAGTACTGATAAATGATAACAACTTGATGACCTCATCTGCTTGCAACAGCACCATAATTATAATGAAGAAACATGCTACTTGCAGTCTTTCAGTATGTTGCAATTTGGCTCAACCTTTGACATGTTTGTTAGCCTTCCTGGTAGCAATTTTATGATCACCTCAAGGGAAAGGGGCAGGCCTTAAACAATGGCTAGAACAACCAACCCTGCTTGGCATGGGCTCTTAAAGAATAATAAGTTGAGAAGGTTTTATAATATGGTATCATAATTTTAATAATTAAATAGTTATTAGTTTAAATCTTATTATTTTTATTTATGTGATAAAAATTAAATATAAGATAGTATAAATTTGAGCAAGTTTTAAGCATAAAAAATTTTCACTTGAAAAGATTTATTAGAAAATAATATAATTATATCTTGGAATCTCACCTAACAATTTAATCTATTAACTTGAAATGATTATTTAATATGGTATCAGAGCTTTAATAACTGAACGATCATGAGTTCGAATCTTATTATTTATTTATTTAAAAAAAAATTAAACACAAGATAATATGAGTCCATACAAATTTCAAATCTAAGAAAGTTTTTATTTAAAAGAATGTATTAAAAAATAATATAAATTATATTTTAAAATATCACCTATTTAAATTATTAAATTAATATAATTTTTTTTTGACAAGACGTACCATTTGAATAATGGTATTTACAACGATAGAAAAAATGAACTTTCATGAACTCAAGTTTGAGCAAGTTTCAGGCTGTTGCACGCGAGGCAGGGCCTCAGCTCAACAAGGAGGTTCAGTATTTGAATCAGTGAAAATGGGCCTTCTTCAAGGCTGAATAATGGCTCTATAGTCTCAGCAAGTACAAGTTTTATTCCTTGCCCCCATCTGCTCGAAGCAACAGTACATTTGATGCTCTGACTGAAGCAGTTAAATTAGAAAAATTTGTTGATGGAAATGAAATGTCCTGATTTAAACAATTTCTTTGGTTTCCTTTTGAATTATCCTGTACTTGTATAGAAGAAGAACACTTGGACATGAGCACCACAAGCTAAAGAAAATATTGTAAGAGTTTGACTCCTGACCGTGCATACACGTTCGACACCAAGGTTTGTTTGATTATCATGACTCCTGACCGTGCATACACGTTCGACACCAAGGTTTGTTTGATTATCAGCTTTCTTTCAGAAGATTCAGAGCATGAAATCAAAGATTTCTTACTCCATTACTTGTATGCAGTTTGATTGTTCCCATTTTCCGCACATAATTTGACAGAAAGCATGGAATCAACAACTGGTAGCTTCGATTTAACAACGCAAAAAGTTGTCTTGCTCATGATAAAAGGCCACAGGCATGAAAGCATAATAATGAGCTCACACTTTCCATTATTGCACCAAACTTCCTTTTGTTACCAACCGGTGCTTTACTTATGATATTAGGGAGAGCCATGTGCGTGTTCTCCCCCTCCCCAACCCATTATTATTCCAAACTTACCTTGACAATGATTCAAGCTCATATCCACAAGGCTCCACACTCCACATAAACCCATCTTGAATAGATTCTTTCCCGTGGTGTCATCATCCTTCCCTGCTTGCTTCCTGAGGTTTATTTTTCATTTGTATATTAGAATTCTATAATTCAACATTACTATCCAAGAGATGCCTGCTAATATGAAGCTTTATTATGCTTCCACATGTCTGATATTCCACTAATTATCATTACCTTACACGATCAGATCATGATACAGTTCCTTGAGAGAAGAAAAAGGAATCCTCACTTGAGAATCCTGTAAAATTAGAATAGCAGTTTGGTCTATCTTTGCAACCTAATGCATTTATCTATTTCTAACAGTTGTACAAACAACATGCTGTTGCAAAAAATAAATAAAAATGAAACAAAGAAGAGGCAGCAGAAGTTACATTCGACAAAAGGATCAAGAATGCCTTCAAGAAAGAAATGGCAGCCAGATTTGCAGCAACGAAGGGTCACTTTATATCTCTCTATATACTCAGGACATCCAATGCAAATGCAATCAATATATTTCCGTTTTTTCTTAACCACAATATGTTTCCACTTTAAGAATTGCAAATTGCAACTGAAATTTAAATGAAGAGAAATGTTAGAGAAGATAGGAAAACAAGATATATAAAAAAAAAGGGGGTGCGCAAGGAAATAACAATAGATTTTCTACAGCAGAAAGGGCTTTAACTACTCTATCGCAAGCACTCAGGACACTTGGTGTTACATTTCATCAACTCCTCCACTCATATATATAGGCCTAGCATCTTGTGCGGCAACTGAAGCAGCAGGGTTCTATCCAAGTAATGTACAAGTTACAAGATAGTCTGATAATATAAAACTGAAGAAATAGTTAGGGAAGATGGAAAACATTACAGAATCAACAAAGACCTTCAGGACAATAGCTGGACTTTCAGCTGCAGATGGGGCACTTAGCCAATCCGTTTTCATTACATTCAGGGCATCTAATGCACTTCTCATTATTCTGATCATCTTCAAAGACCTTACAACTGCCATTACAATTGGAGCAAACAACAAATCGCTTGTTGCCGCAACCAATGCATGGGGAATTAGACAGGTTGAGAGGTATACCTGCCAAGAGCTTCTTCAGCCTACCTTGCTCGTGCAAGCCAATCACTTCATCAGCTCCTCCTATGTACCTTCCCTTTATGAAAAGCCTTGGAGGAATCACTCTGCCACCCAGTATCCTCCATAGTTCCTCCCTGAATTCCAAGTGCAAAGAAACATCTCTCTCGCAGAACATTACTTTCAAACTTTCCAACAAAAACCGAATAGCATGACAATCCTCAAATGTCTTTCTTATACTTCGCAAGCTTGTTGTGTAGAGAATTACAGACTGGCTTCCTCCTGGAAGACATTTCTCTTCAAAATCTGAAAGAGATGGATGTTCTTCAATCTCTTTCTCAGCTTCATTTTCCGTGTCTTGCTCCACGGTGATCTCCGTTGAGACTGGAGCCTCGGGACTATCCATGGCAGGCACTCTGTCATTGGATAATACGGAGGTTGCAATGTTCACCTTGTCGACAAAATTAAGTTCCAAATCCAGTTCTTCATCTTTTGATTCTGTTTTGTGCTTTGATACACCAAACCTACCAGCTAGAATGTCTTTTTTGTGATCCTCTTGTATGTAAATTGGTGGTATCTGCAGGTTCTGATAGGAAAAACTTTCTGTGGAGTTCAGATGGGAAACTAGACCTTGTTTCAGTGTGCTTATACTTGGAATGAAATTCAATTTCTTTAGGAATCTTCCCTTCATTGATTTCATTTCTTTTGCTCACAAAATGGATGGGGTGTGATCACAACCAGTTGAAGAGGGAAGGGTGGATTTTGTCTGAGAATGACTTATGAAGAGACTAGAGGACATGAAGCAGCAATGGAGGTTTCTCTTTTGGTTTCCAGTGGCACAAAGTGAAAAGCTTTGCGTGGGTAATTGATTGCTTTTTAAAGTCTTGAATTGATCACTGCACAAATTGTGGGGGCTAGGTGGAGTCCATGGCAACCCTTTTATCAGAAGATCCTGACCCTTTAGGTCTTTTACCAACAACTTGGTGTCTCATCAGGTATGAAGAGTACCACACCACCTCAAACAATGAGCGAAGGGATGTGCTTTTCATTTCAGGTAATTGGATGGCAAAGGCACCACTGCCTGGTTTCCCTGCAATTGGCACTCATGCCCTTGATGCCATGTTGTGGCACGGTTTGATTGGTGGTGCAACACTAGGGGGGATGGTTCCGAGGCAGCAGAGCTGCACCCCTGTAGACATGGTGTGTCAGAAGCACAGGTGTTGTGCTCGCTCTTCAATATATGGTGTGTCAGAAGCACAGGTGTTGTGCTCTTCAATATCACACGGATAAACATATTTGATTAATGGAGCTTTCCTTTCCCTTCCACTGATGGTGCTGGAAATTCATTTTTTTTTTGGCCCCACTTTCAACAAATCCTGTAATTCAAAAGGACAAAAAGAAAAGCTGAACCCTCTAGCCTCTAGGCAACAACTCTAGTCAGCAAATTAACCTTAATGGAACGTAAGAAAAGCCCAATTGTAATGGGTTGAGAGTAGGATCATTCATTTTAAATTGAACGGAAAATCTCAAGGATAAAAAACCCCATGCAATTGTATGCAATAGTCAATAACTAGCCATCGAGTTAGAGGTAGATTTTAGACCTAAAACCTGTTTTTTGTTTATATATATGTACGCACACATACCCAAACATCAAAACTATGACTTGGAATATCTAACAATTAAACCCAGAAATAATATATTTTACAAAGAACGAAGGAGGAAGCACAGAGTTTAAAGAGTACAGGAAGGGGTGAAAGGTTGAGCGAGATGAATTCACTAGTCATTAAGATCTCTCTCTCTCTCTCTCTCTCTCTGTTTTATAGGCTGAGCACTATATTTTATTTAGTTTTCGGAGTTGATTGATGAATGTATCCAGTCATAACTTTGTTATTTTTATGGTTAAAAAGATATAAGAACATTTTTTTTTAAAAAGAGGGGTTAAAAAATGAAGTTTTGGGACCTCGAAGGCTGAGAAAAGGACCTCGTCATGTGGTGACCAAACAATCACCAGAGAGTGGGCTCGTTATTTAGAAAAGTGGGCTTTTTTCCCATCTCTCAGAAAGCATTTTGCCGCATGGAATCCAATCTGTAAGGCAGGTCTGAAAGCACACATGGGGACATCAGGGACATGCATAGCAAATAATCTGTGTTCTCGTATTATTCATTCATAGAAAATTGATTTCTCTTTAGCAGACCAGTCATTTCGCACCAAATATAGTTGATCCTTCAATGATCACAACATCAGTTTTTATTCCCTTCCTACATTTGTGCCCTATGGCATAAGGTTTTATTCAATAGTCATCCGTTTGAAAACAAGTTACCCCAAAGTTCAAGTGAGCACATAGCCTATCATCCTGCAATCATACTGCATCAAAGGATACATAATGGGCACTGACAATTCTCAATAACGTAGCTACAGAATTGATCCTCGTATTAAGAAAATGGAACTTAATCATGCATTACACATCATGACATTGTAGCAATATTAGGAGCTAAAAGGCATATACCATGGATACAGAAGTGACAGTGCTTAGACCATGAGGCAAGCCTTCAAGGCACCTAAATATCAGAAAGGGATGATGCAGAACCAATGCGAAAACCGAAGGAAATGCAAGTAAGTTCATGACTTTCTCCATTAATCATCTTCATAGTAAGAGAGTACGAACCCTGCAAATGACAAACATTGGCAGGTAAATGCAAAATCCATTCATCTGATTGATCTCACTTTCTTGCCTCCACTATAAAATTAGATCCAGTGATTCAAACCAGAGACCTTTCAAAAGCCATTTCGAATCAAAGAGTCAACAATTCAAAAGAAATGAGGAAAGAAACAGGCTAGGATAGTCTATCCTCCATATGTTGTAAACACTCAAAAGAAGGATAATTAAAAAAAAAAAACGTGAGGGTGGAGTAGAAAGAGATTCAAGCAAGAGTAGAAATAACATGTTGATAAATTTTTCATTAAAAAGAAATTTAGGAGTTGGATTTGATTCACAGAAAAGTAACATTATTGTCATTAAACTAATAATGCTTTTTTAAAAGGAACATTATGTCCAGCAGAAACATCTATTCATGGATGATAGCAGCTGTGATGGTGTTATTCTGGACAATTCCCTACTATCAAACAGTGCTTCACAGAAACTGATCACCAATGAGCGCACCCACAAGCTACAGAGATTGAAGTATAGCTAGATCATAATTGGAGAAAAAAATGACTCTATGTACCATTCACCATTTTGCTCTAGAAAATAATAACGGATTTCATGACATCTAATGGAGGTTTTAAAATTCATGATGTTGCAAGAACAATCAGGCATATAGGGTTAACAAAGCAATGAATTGGAAACAAACCAAATCAATTAATCCCAAAAGTAAGATTGCTAATTTAGAGATCTCAAAAGGGAATATTATAAGAAACAATATCCCATCATCCAATTCACTTGACTCAGTTTTCACTCTTGAAAAAACCATGCTCCTTGAGATTGACATGCCAAATAAATTGCCCACAGCTGCAAAAAACTTAAAACAGCTGAGCTTGAAGAGCCAGTTGCTTAGTTCAAAGCATCTGATTATATGCCATAATCACGTCATCCTCGACAGAATTTTCCAAACACACGGATGTGACATCCACAATATCCAATCAATAACATTCATCAAAATATATGTAAAATGCATATAAATCACTTACAGGTGGAGTGAACCCAGGCAACTCTTCAGTGTGAGACACCACAAAATTACCACTGGTTACAGGGCAGGACGTTTCCTCACAAAGATCATGATCCTGACTATACACAGGAAATCCGAAGTATCTAACATCGACCCTCATTTTGCCATCAGTTATTGATTCACCTGTATTAATTAAATAATTATAATTCAGCAATCAGACTTGCAACTTACAATTATCCAAAATATTTTTATTTTTAAATCCAGTAATTGATTCACCTGTATTAATTAACTATAATTCAACGATCAAAATAACAAAATGAAATTATCCAAAAAAGAACAAAAGCCAAAGAAAAACATAGTCACTTGTTGATGCAGAGATAGTGAAGGTCGCTGGTTTCCCTTTCTTCACCGGATTTGGGCTTATCTTCACTCCGCTAACTTTAACGTCATAATCCTTGTTATTATCTGCATGAAAAAAAAAGAGAAGAAGATTCAATTAAATTAAAATAAAATAAAATAAAACAAGATTTTGGTTGAGATAAATCGGAAAGAGTGGATTTAGAGAGGGAGAGACCGCAGTACTGGAATTTGGAGGCTTGAATCGAAGGTAGGAGCAGACAAAGCGAGATAAGCAAAGGAACAATGATCATGCAGTGAGCCATTTATTTCAGAGAATCTAAAGAAATCGTGGAGATTTCAGGAGGAAGGAATAGTAGTGGAATATGAATTTAATCAATCAGGGGGTTTTCTTCTGAGGGGCTTTGGACAGAGCAGGTATCCAATGTGATATTATTAATCTTTGGATTTGAAGGGTCCAGATACGTCGAGGGTGGCGTTGGTGTGTGATGAGAATGGTAGTTGGCTTCAAGATGGATGATTGGTTGGGTTTTAATAATTTAATTTTCTGTCCCCACCTACACCTACACTACATTAACATTAATTATTTAAAAAAAACTAAAAGATGTATTGCACAATATCAAAATTAAAAAAAAAAACCCATCTTTCTACCCAAAAAGACCCTTTCAAACAACACTAAAAAAACTCTAGAAATAGTAAACATCACTTTAGACAAAGACGGTAAAAAAAAACATTATTCATTGTTATAATAAAATCATGGTTTTGGCCTTTAAAAGAAAAAAAAAAGAAATGGCTTGAATAGGAGATAATTCAATTTTTTCTCATTACCGATTGTCACCGAGTATATATGTTTTTTTTTTAATTTAGAAATTAATAAATAATTACATTACACTTAAAGTAAAAAAAATTCTATCTTTTTTTTTTAAAATACAATGAAAAGATATATTTACTCTTGAAATTAAGAAAATATAAGTCATGTATTTATGATATTTTTTGTCTTTTAACATAGGTTTTTTTTTTAAAATTCCATAACCAATAAGAATAATTTAATTTTTTCACTTAATTAATTAATATTTAAATTAAAAATTTTGTTGGTGCATCTTCTGAGTTAGCTAGCGTAGGAAAGGCACACGTTCACCATTTAGGTGATATATGTGATGCTTTTTAGTAACCAAATCTATAATTTTATTGTGTTATTAGAAGGATTGCCACATCATTTTCGTCATGGTTTAAACTATATAGATAGTGATGAGGTTATTTGTCTTATTATTATTTTTTTCCTTTTATTTCTCTTTCCTCCCAAAAAATTATAGGTTGACTCTATTTAATTTTGATATTTCAATTTCAATCATTATTTTTTTAATTTTTAATATTTATTTCTGGCTCGTTTATAAAACTTTTATTTATTTTTAATTTTAATTTGTCATATACTATTGTTTTCAATTCAATCCTTATTCTTTTGATTTCTACTTTTTTTTTACTCTTTTGTAAAAGTTTTATTAGTCTTCAATTTCACCATTCAATCTAAGTTTATAGTATATTATTTTTTTCAATTTAGTTCTTATTCTTTTGATTTTTTTTCTTTTATTAAAGTTAATTTTCTTTTCAATTTAACTCTCTACTAAATAATTTTAGTTCGCCCTCTAATTTATTTATTTATTATTTTTATTGCACCCTTATTGTTTTAATCACCATTTTTGTTTCATGTTCTTTTCTAGAATTTTATCCTGATTTCATTCTTCATCATTTGATTTGCCAAGGATTGACTTTTGTGATTTTTTTATATATGCTTCTTCTAGTTTAATAACCTAGATTATGAGTTTTAAAAGTTAATGTGGATCAATATCTTATTTCTTTGGTTTTTTTTTTTTTAATTTCATCCTTCAACTTTAGTTTTTTATTTTTTAAAGATTGTCTTTATGGTTTTCTTTAATTTTTTTATCATATTTTTTTTTATTTCATGACCAAAGCCACGAGTTTTGCAAGTTAATTCAGGTTGGCTTGCCCCTTATTAATCAGGTTACATGTCTATAATGTTACCTTAAGCTATTTTTTTAATTTTTTAATCCAGTTTTGTACTTTCAATGTTCTTGTTCAAAAAACAGTTTTGTACTTTCAATGTTCTTGTTCAATTTTTTTTTTTGTTTATTATCATTACCTATGTTATTATCGTTTAATTAAAATAAAATCAAATTATTAAACTTGATTGAGG